CACGCATGAAGAATTTCGGTGCTCCGCAGGGTGAAGCCACCCAGACAGGGCAGAACAGGGGAGAACAGGAAGGGACGCCCACACCGCAGGAAGGTGGCTGCGGAAGCAGGCACGGCGCCTGTGCTCTGGCCTGACGGCGTTGAGAAAGGGCTCCTCTGTCCGGGTAGTTCCAGCTTTCACTGCTGAATCCGTCCCTTTCCCAGAACCCCTGCAACTAATGTTCCCGAGATATGCCAGCGGAATTACTGATGTTAGAAGTCTCATTTTATTAGGCTTTAATCAAGCTCTCCTGTGAAGTGCCACATAAACTCAATTTTGGATTTTGCATATAAAATAATCAAATGAGAGTGAAGCATCATAGACATAAAATGTTTTTTAATGAAAATGGTATATTTAATTTAATCATAGAAAATTGTCTGAATAGGGTACATCTAAGTGGCAGGAATACTGATATATCCTCTTAACTAGGGCCTTGGAAAGCCCAGGATCTACATAGTCTTGTGAAATGATTTCCAGTTCTTTGAATATTTTCCCTTCCCTCCATTGAGCTCTGACCCAGGCATCCTTTAGAATCAACCTAAAACTCACCTTCAATGAAAATTTATTTACTTGACATTTAGGGGTACACATTTTTACAGCTTATGTTCATTTGTATGTGATATTTGGAAAAGCCTACCATGATGGAAAGAACATGGGCCTGGGTCAGTCTGCAGACCTGAGTTCCAGTTTCAAGGCCTACAAATCAGCTAACTTCCTAGCCTCAATTTCCTTATCTGTGAAATACGAGCTTGGGACTAAACGGTCTTCCAAATGTATGAACTGTTAGAAGTGTTAAAAGCGTTCGGTTGTTTGATATTTGTCTCTGCTGCTCAACTGGATTATGAATTTCCCTGGAACAGGGATTATACCGTCTGCATCTTTGGTACTTCCATCCCCACCCCCAGCTGCCCGGCACTCTGCGCTGCCCACAGTGGATACCCTGTCAATGCTATAGACTGACTGACAGCACCGATGGCAGCCAGGAGGTGGCACTTTGGTATTTTCTGCAATAGAAGAACAAACCACAATGAGAAATCACTCAGGCTCCTGCTTTATTGACCAAAGTAGTTCTAGGGATCAAAGCAACCAAGGAGCTATTTTTTTTTAATTGACGTATAATAAATAACATTGGCTTTTGGTGGTGGTGATGGTATACCAGTCTGTGGGTCTTCATACATGCACAAATTACTGTAACCACCACCACAGTGAAGATACAGAGTCATTCCATGAACCCCAAAAACTCCTTTATACCAACCAGGGCCCCCGACCCCCGACCCCAAATGCTGACATCTATATTCTAGGATATCGTATAAATGGAGTCATACAATATGTCACCTTTTGAGACTGGCTGCTTTCACTCAGCATAACGCCTCTGAAAGTAATCCATGTAGTTGCATGTCAGTAATTTGCATTATTAGTTCATTCTTTTTTTATTGCTGAATAGCATTCCATTGTATCGATGTAGCACAGTTTATTCACCTGTTGATGGATGTTCTGGTTGGTTTCAGTTTGGCTCACTTACGAATAGGGCTGCTGTACATATCCCTGTGTAAGTTTTTGTGTGAACATTAAGTTTTTATTTCTCTAGAATAAATGTCTAGGAGTGAGATTTGTGGGTCATGTGATAATTCTGTGTTTAACTCTTTGAGTAACTGCCAAACTGGCTTCCCAGTGATTGTGCCATTATCATCCCCACCAGTGATGGAGGAGCGTTCCAGTCCTTCTGCAGCCTCACCAGCATTTGGTGCCATCACTTTTGTTGTTCTTCTTCCTCTTTGTTTCTTGTTTATTTGGGCCGTTCTGATAGGTTTGTGGCGATATCTTGTAGTCTGAGTCTGCATTTCCCTAATGGCTAGGGCTGTTGAGCATCTTTCATGTGCTCATTTGCCACCCATAGGTCTTTGGTGAAGTGACCTCAGATCTTTTGCCCATGCTACATTGGCTTGTTTGCTCTCTTACTTGCGTTTTAAGAGTTCTGTATATATTCTGGACACAAGTACTTTATTAGATGGAGCTCTGCAAATATTTTCTCCCAGTCTGTGGGCAGTCATTTTATTCTCCTACCAATATCTTTCTTAGCAAAAAGCTTTGTATTTGATGAAATTTAGCTTAACATTTTTTTTCTTTTATGGGTTGTGCTTTTGGTGTCATTTCTAAGAAATCTTTGTCCAGTCCAAGGTTGCAGAGACTTTCTCCTATGTTTCTTGAAGTTTTATAGTTTTACATTTTTACATTTAGATCTCTAATCCATGATGAATTGATCTTTCATAAGGTGTGAGATTTAGGTCCATGTTTATTTCTTTTGGCAAGTGGGTGTCCAAATGTTCTGAGTTATCCAAATGTCCTGTCCAAGTTACCCTTTCTCCACTGAATTGCCTTTGCGTCTTTGCGAAAAACCAGTTGTTCATGTTTCTGTGGGACCGTATCTGACTCTCCGTTCTTTTCCCACTGACCTGTGTTTTTATCCCTTTGATAATTATATTATCTTCATTACTGTAGCTTTATAGTAAAAAAAAAAAATCAGCTACTGTGAGTCTTCCAACTTTGTTCTTTTTTTTCATATTGTTTGGCTTTTCTAGTTCCTGTGCCTCTCCATATACATTTTAGAATCAGCTTGTTAATATCTACAAAAAATTCTGGGATTTTTGTTGGGACTGCATTAAATCTATAGATCAATTGAGGGAAAATTGGCAATATTGAACAATATTGAGTTTCTCAATCCACAAACACATTATTTCTCTTCATTTATTTAGATTTCTTTTATTTCTCTCATCGGCATTTTCATCTGATTTCTTTCTTCGGCATTTCGTACTTCTCAGCCTACAGGTCTGCACATATTTTGTTAGATTTTTATCTAAGTATTTTTGGTTTTGAAGCTGCTGCAGATGGTTTTGTTTTCAGGTTTCTGTTTCCAGGTTTTCATTGCTGGTATATAGAAATCAATATATTTTTGTCTGTTCACTTTGTTTTTTCGGCAACCTTGCCAAACCCACTTACTAGTTCTGAGAGCTGTTTTGTAAATTCCTTGGGACTTTCTACATAGACGATTGTGTAATCTGAAAATAGAGTCATTTGTTTTGTCCCTTTCAATCTGTATACTTTCTAATTTACTTACACCTGCCTTAATGCACTGGCTGGGGCTTCCAGTAAGAGGTTACACGGCAGCAGTAACAGTAGAAGTCCTTGCACTGCTCTCGATCTTTGGGGGAAGCATTCAGTCTCTCACCACTATGTGTGATGTTAGCTGTGGCGTTTTTGTAGATGTTATTTATCAGGTTGAATTCTTTTCTAATCCTGGTTTGCTGAGAGATTTATATCATGAATGGATGCTGAATTTTGTCAAATGCTTTTTCTGCATCAGTTGATATGATCATGTGGCTTTCTTTTTTATTCTGTTGCTGTGATGGATTACATTGGTTGCTTTTTTTTAATACAAAACTAGCTATGCATTTCTTAGATTAACTCTCCTTGGTCTTGATGTATTATTGTTTTTGTATATTTTTGGATTCGATTTGCTGATACATTGTTGGCCATCCTGAATACATCCATGTTCATGAAGGATATTGGATATGGGTTTGTGGCTTTCATTTCTTGTACTGCCTTTGTCTGTTTTTGGTATCAGGACAATGCTCATAAAATGAGTTATAAAGTATTCTCTTCTATTTTCTAGAAGAGGTATGGAGAATTGGTGTTATTTCTTTTTTAAATATTTGGTCACTATTTACAATAGCCAAAACATGGAAACAGCCTAAATGTCCATCAACAGGTGACTGGATAAAGAAGATGTGGTATATTTATACAATGCAATACTACTCAGCCATAAAAGCCGACAACATAATGCCATTTGCAGCAACATGGATGCTCCTAGAGAATGTCATTCTAAGTGAAGTAAGCCAGAAAGAGAAAGAAAAATACCATATGAGATCGCTCATATGTGGAATCTAAAAAACAAAAACAAACAAACAAACAAAAACAAAGCATAAATACAGGACAGAAATAGACTCATGGACAGAGAATACAGACTTGTGGTTACCGAGGCGGGGGGTAGAGGGTGGGAAGGGATAGACTGGGATTTCAAAATTGTAGAATAGATTAACAAGATTACACTGTATAGCACAGGGAAATATACACAAAATGTTATGATAAATCACAGAGAAAAAAATGTGACAATGAGTGTGTATATGTCCATGAATGACTGAAAAATTGTGCTGAACACTGCAATTTGACACAACACTGTAAAATGATCATGAATCAATAAAAAAAAATATTTGGTGATAACCTATAATGAAGAAGAATATATGTATGTAACTGAATCCCTCTGCTATGTACCAGAAACTAACACAATATTGTAAATCAACTATACTTCAATTAAATGTGTGTGTATGTGTGTGTGTGTGTGTGTGTATTTGGTAGAATTTACCAGTGCAATTATCTGAGCCTGGAGTTTTCTTTTCTGAAAGGTTTTTAACTACAAATTTAATTTCTTTGATAGAGCCGTATTCAGGTTATCTATTTCTTCTTGGGTGAGTTTTGGTAATTTGTGGCTTTCAAGGAATCGTTTGGTTTCATCTAAGTTGTTGAATTTATGTGTATAAAGTTGTTGAAAATATTCCTTTATTATCCTTTTAATGTCTATGTGGTCTGTAGTAATAGCCCGTCTTCCACTCCTAATATGGGTAATTAGGTCTTCTCTCTTTTACTCTTTCAGACTAGAGGTGTAGCAAATTCATTTGTCTTTTGAAAGAACCTGCTCTCTATTTCATTGATTTTACTCTCTTGTTTTTCTGTTTTCGGTTTCGTTCATTTTCGTTCTCATTATTTCCTTCCATCTGTGTGTTTCATGGAACTTGATAAAGATTAATGTCATCAGAGTGACTGACTAAAACCATTACAAAGTGTATTTTTAAGCTCCTCTTTTTGAAAACCATCCTAATAGTTTTCCACGCTTTGTCTCTCTGCAGTTGACTGGTCTGAGCGTCTCCAATGGAAAGGACCAGCTTGTGGTGTTCCATACCAAAGACAACAAAGACCTCATTGTCTGCCTCTTCAGCAAACAGCCAACCCACGAGAGTCGAATTGGAGAACTGGTTGGAGTCCTGGTGAATCATTTCAAGAGGTAAATTTTGGTTTTTATAACTAAGACAAGTTTAAAATATATGAACTCTTTCCATCGTTATTCTCACTGAACTTGTTTTGTGCCAATTTTAGTATATTGAGTTGTTTTCCTTCTCGAGGACAACTTTTAAGTCATCTGTTTCACAGAAGACAAAATTAATATCCAGGCTTAGCCTCAAGATTAGGAAAGATCCTCTACTTTTCTAGCCTCCAGCTGAACCAACAACGAGAGTTTTCCCTAATGGTGATTTCTTCACGGCCAATCCCAATGTCATTAAATCCAAAAGACAGAAAACTTACTTTACATCCTTATTGTCACAGCTTCTCATGTACCCCAAATACAGTCAGTTAGAGTATCAACTAGGAATGTAAACAAATTAGAAGGCAGGCCTAGAATGGCATGTAGGTCCACGAAGAGTAAAGGAATTCTGAAGAGGCAGTAACCTCTGCAGAAACCCATGGGGTCGTGATGGAATGTGGCATTGTCTGAGAACTTCATGGGAAACCTAGATGCTGCCTAGGTGGTTGTGTACGTCTGTGTAGTGAATAGTGATATGAGAAATATAAACGGAGCAGATCCTGATGGTGATGGGGACCAGTGAGTGGGTCGTTTTAAGGTGGGGAGTGATTTTTGTCTGGTTACTTCCTGGAGTCATTTTAAAGATGGTGTTTTTCTTCCCAAAGAAGGTCATGGAGTATTTGGAGCTGGGTGTTTCTCTGGCTCCAAAGTCAGATGTTCTTCCCACTTCTTCCCCTTATGACGTACTGTCACCCACCACCACCACCACCACCACCCTGAGGCCAGGAGGGGACTGCTCTTCCAAACTCAGGGACTGAGAAATGAGCCCAATATCCAGTTCCTTTTCTTCCTAAAAGACATTTCCTAAATTTCCAAGAGTCATCTAGTATTCCTTATTAGTGTTGGGGTTTTTTCCTTTAAATTTTGATACGGCTTTTCTCTTCACAAAAGTGTATTTAGAATCTGATGTCCAAACGTCTAATTCTACTGTGTTCATGATGGCTGATAAATGTATGGAGTATAATTTTAGCAGTGAGCTGCGTAGGCCATTTATTTTATGTTAAAACCATATTGTGCATCAAAACAGATCTTTAAATAGCTTATATAATTAAATGCTTTTAAATGCTATACGCAAAATGATGTTTAGTGGTCATCCGGTGGGGGAAAAAAATAAGAATCTAACTAAGGAATTACCAAAAAATAATAATAAACATAAAGGCCTTTGAAAAAGTCCCTTCCATCTGCCAAACATAAAGCTGAGAGAAATACTGAAGAGTTTAGAATGGAAGGGAAAGACATGGAGAAGGCATCTCTACCATTAAGTCTGCAACTTGGATAAGTAGGTCTCTTTTCCTCCTAATATTTACTTATAGCAAAGTATGGCTAATCAGGGGTTTTAACTTATTACCTTGAATTTGGATGCCTATACTAATAGTTTTTGCCTGGGAAGTTGAAGTATTTTTTTCTCCATCTGTGCCCTTGTTTAGCAAATTCCAGCCTCTGTTAAACGCCTCTACAAGTGGGGGAGATAAGTGAATTTGTTCTTAGAATCCATCAGTTGCTTTTTTTTCCTAGCCTCTGTGTTCTGAGATACATTTCTATCTCTAATATCTGTAAGACTTTCAACTGTCTTTAAAAATTTATAAATGGAAGGAAGAGAAGAAGGCTGTCGAGATGGTGGGGTTTTGGGGGTTTTTTAAGTGGTTTTTGGGGGGTTTTTTTCCAGTTTTTTCTTGATTACCCTATCCTGTGTCCTTAATCCTGTGAATTAAAAAGTCAAGTTCAAACGAGAGGGAAAAAAACCCTTCCTGTCTGCCAGAGAAATTTCCGGCTTGAAATATGGACTTAGGGCTGTAGTCCTCTACTTGCTGTTGACTTCTTGAGAAAAGGTTAATTTGATTTTTCCCTAGCTATTTTCCTTTGTTGTCAAGTACAGTATCATTGGTGTGACTTTGAAAATCATACTGTATTCTACAAGCATAACAATGTGTCACGTAGTCTTATGTGTCCCTGGGTTAACTTTGTAAATCCAAAGGTGGTAAGGATTTAACTCTGGGCCAGTTCTTTATCTTTCAGGTGATTTCCCTAAAGTACATTCTGAAGAGTTCTCTAGTTAGAAGTTGGGAGGAAAGGGCTCAAAATAACAAAATATACTGTTGATAGACTGGATTTGAACAGGAGTCATTGCTTGAAAAATTACAGAGATGATTAGGACTTAAAGTCCGTGAACAAAGTTCTGGCCAAGTTGCAGAGAGAAGAGGGAGAGGTAAATAATTTGGCAGGGGTAGGAGGGCGTGGAAAAGAGAGTATCTCATTTTATTAGGCCAGGAAAACACTATACCCAAGGCAAAGAAGGACAGCACAAGAAAAGAAAATTACAGTCCAGTCCCACTTTGTTGCAGAGAGTTCTTTTTGATTCTAAATAAAATGCCCCAAACTGGATCCAAGAGTGTTTTAAAAGAACAATGCATCATAACCCTTGAGGCTGTGCCCTGAGAACACAAGGGTGGTTATCCATTAGAAAGGTCTGTTAACCTATTCACTGAATGCTTCTTCAGAGAAGACAAAAGTACTATTTGATAACATTGAATATTCATTACACCCAATAAATAACATACAAACAAAATGAATAAATCTTCAGTGAAATAGGAATAGGAACAAATATGAAGCAGACCTCCAGCTGCCGACCATGATCACGTGAGCAAAGACGGTTACAGGGTTACCACCCAGAGCGCCTACAGCCTGAGGAGACGTGTGAGTCATGCCGACCCCGGTGCACGGAGGGTGAAGAGGAAGGACACAGTCGACTGAGGGGAGAAGTGGCCTTGGGCAGAGGATGCTGCAGTTTGGAGAGAGGATGAGAGGAGGTCAGCAACCTGAGCCGAAACCCTAGGACAACCCCAGCATGATAACGTCACCTCTTCAGGGGCCGCACTTCAGCCAACAGCTGCCCCCACTCACAGCAAATCATAAACCAGAAAGAAATCAGCAAGAGAACTGTGCACTGGCAATACAAAAATCAGCAAAGGAAGTAAAGAAAGGCAAATGAAGAAAAAAGAAAAAAAGGACAGGGGCGGGACTAGCCTTACCGTACCCTCCTGCCTGAAGCAGCAACAACAACACAAAGACGGAACCTGTGAAACAACCGTTTTCAAGACCCTGGACGTCAGGCAGTGAAGAGCGATGACCCCCCTGAGAGGAGAAAATCTACCAGGGCAAGCCCTGCAGCCACCCCAGCACCCTGCCTTGGGAGAGCTCCAGGCCATGGTGCACGCAGGGGAAAGCCAGCAGGAGCACAGAGACTCCCTGAGTCCGGGAGGTGGAGGCAAGAGTCTGGGGGAGACCAGGGCAGCTACAGTTTGCAGGACAGAGTACCAGGGAGGAGAGGCGTGCACAGAGCGAGAACGCTTGAGATCTGGGTAGGATCCCCCTCAAGTCCCGCCTAATGAGTCTTAAAATCAAGAGCCAAAAGGATCAAAACACTACCAAGTGATTTAACTGTGTCCTAGAACAGAACTCATGAATATGTATAGCAGTACAAAAAAATCCACCCCTCTCCCAAGGTGAAATTCACAGTGTCTGACGTCCCATCAAAGATTACCAGGCGTACAGACAGGCAGGAAAGTGCAGTCCAGCATGAGGGGAAGCGATCATCACCTGACTGAAACCAACCCAGAGCCGACAAAGGGCTTAGAATCAGCAGACACAGACATGAAAACCATCATTACAGCTAAATTCAGGTGTTCGAAAGTTAGCTAGAGATGTGGAATATATAAAAACAGACCCAAATCAAGCTTCTAGATGAAAAATGTTTGAAATAATCATAATTCAAAATGAAAACAAAAAAGATAAAGCTTATGGGTTTCTCCTCTACGTAATGAATTTCTCATGACCATCATCCCTCACAAACTGAAGCCAGCCCTTTCCTGGCACTTCCTTCCATCCTAATCCGAAACGAAATCCAGCAAAGTATAAATTATTTCTCTAACTAAGTATGAATAAGTTTCTCTCACTTCCTTCAGTCTTTATGCAACCTGGACCCATTATTTCTGCCTCTGCAAGAACTCACCCACACATTTCACATTTTCTAGAACATTTGAAGGCAGCCTTTTAATGAAGTCTATTCCAAAGGGTGACATTTAGATTATTTAACAACCAGCATGGCTCAAGCACAGACCATTGAGAACTGACACCCTCCAGAAACACCTGATCCTGCTGTACCAGCAAGTCCTGGCTACCTTCCACACACCAGAATTGCACCAAAGGAGAAAGGGAGGGGCCCTGAAGTTGGATGTTTCAGATATGCTGATGACGATAGACAGGTTTCTTCACTGCAGTACTTCTCAGAGCTTTTAATATGCTTTGTTCATTTTAAATACACACAATTAAAAAATTATAAGGACATATATGTGTGTGTGTGTGCGTGTGTATTTATCTCTTTCATGCGCGCGCACACACACACACACACACACACACACACACACACACACAGTATTATGTACATTATAGACTATATCCAGAAAGACATTCGGGAAATGGGAAAGGATGTCTCTGGAGAGGAGAGACGGGTACTGGGAGAAAGAGGTAGGAGGGAGGTTTTATTTGTTCTTCACTCTACACTTTTGACAACAGGTATATGTACTACTTACCTGGAAATTTTTTTTCTTCTAAATAAACAAATGGCAGCTGGTTTCTAGGTGTATTATAGGTGGCTCTGAGTTCATGGTTATTCTCCTTTCCTGTTGAGAGAAGTAGAAAAGAACAAAAGAGCCTTCTGAGTGAATCATCTCTCTCAGGGCACTGAGTAGGGTGAAGTAAAGCCTCTTGGAGAACCGCCGTTCGGTGGGGTCCCGTTGTGCAGGTCACAAGAAGCTGCGGTGAGGTTTCTTCGTCTGTGCCGTTGCCCCAGTGGCTCCCCCGGCCAGGCTGCTCGACCTTCAGTGTGTAGCTCACGCTCAGCGGTGACTACCTGCTGGTGGTGA